ATGCTTCATGTTGGTTACTCAATCCTCATATCCAGGTTCATTGCCATGGAAGATATTGATCTTATAGCATGTTGTGACCATGTTCTTTAGGATAAGATGGATTTGGGTAAAACATATGGGTTTGGCTCTTCACTTTCAATTATCCTTTGGATGTTCTCAGTGGTTTCAGTTTATGTCTTGTTGAAAAATTATCCTTCATTTTGCTCACACTCAGCCTGTTCTCATTGTACGCTCTGTCTATGATCTGCTTTGAATCATTAAGTATTTTTGGCAGAATGATGTACATCTGTCCAATATTAAACCGGCCTAATCTTGGAAGGAACTCTGGCACTGCAGTTTGATTGTTAAGTCATATGTCAGTTCTATAAATATTTTTAACACAATTACAGCCGGCCCATAAACATTTTGCTATCCAATAAGAAAAAATGCTATCAAATTCATACCATTTGACCCTAGGCTTTATTCCAGCTCCTCTTTATGGGACTGTAATAATGTATGTACTGTAAAATAGGAAGATTGCCAGACACAACAGCACATAGTGACATGTGACCCTATATGAGTGTATTAGGACCAGAATTGGGGCATGTGTAACCTACCCTCCCTAACACCGCTAAAATAATGAACCCCAATGGTCTATGGTACCCTAACAAGTAAGTTCTAATAATAATAATTAACCTCTATTTTGCTGCATAGAGGGCTGGCGCTGCCACTAAGCAAACTAGGCAGAAACCTAGGGTGGACTGCCACCTAGGGCGCAGCCTCGACCACCACCTTCCTTGCACTCTGTTGGCTTCCTGATACCGCTAGGTTATCCCAAGACATGCAAGTGGTCTTCATAAAGATGGCCAAGGAGGGAGGACAGTTTGATAACATGAGCTTTTCCCTCTAGTGTTTAGAGCCCCTTCCGCATGGCCTCAGTCAGGGACTGGCCTCTGCTGATGCCGGCTAATGAGTCATGAGGGGGGGCGTGGCCGGCTCAGTGGGAGTCTTTGCACTCTAGCAGCCTCTTTCTGTGCTGTAACCTTCACAGGCCACCCAGATATCACAGTGAAAGCTGTGTGATGAGTCCAGCTACAGGAGAACGCTGAGCCCGCTGTGTGTACTATAAAGGTCTGCTCACCCCTGCATGGCCTGCATGAAGGAGTCTCTAATGTTTCCTGTATAGGCTTCTGTGTGCTATGGGAGGACTGTGCACACCATGGAGGTAACAGGAACCCTATGTGCTGGGGACACAATGGAGGGGACATGGACCTTGTGTGCTAGGGAAGGACTGGGGACACCATAAAGGGGACATGGACCCTGTGTGCTATGGAACTGGAAGGCCTGGGGACAGCATGGAGGGGGCATGGACCATGTGTGCTAGGGAAGGGCAGGGGGTACCTTGGAGGGGGCATGAACCCTGTGTGCTATAGAAGGGATGGGGACACCATGGAGGGGACATGGACCCTCTGTGCTAGCCAGTGTGTTGGGGGAGGGGGGTTTCTGCATCTCCCGGCCGGGCTCTTAGAAATCTTGGATGCTGTGGCTGGTGCCCCCCAGCTCCTGGCAACCAGTCACGTCACTGGTTCCCAGGAGCTGGGCAGGACACTGGTCAGAGTGTCTCAGGTTTCTCAGTGCTGGGTGGAGACATGTGTATGGCCCTTACACATCTCCTAGCCTGGCTCTTAGTAACTTGGGATACTCTGGCTGGAAAGGAGGCAGCACTGTGCAGCAGAGTGGTAGTATACAAGAAACATGCTGATTTGCCTGCTGCCCCACCACATGACCGAAAGAGATGTCGCTTGAGGCAACAGCCTCAGGCTGCCTCATAAAAGGGACAGCCCAGCAAGTAGGTGCATATGGGCTGCGTTTCCTATCTTTTACAGGTCTGAGCTTTTTACAGACTTGTGTAGTATATAGCTGTAAAACATTGGGTTGTGCATTAGAGACAAGAAAAACTGTCAGGATAGAAATATGCCTGTCATTTTGACCATAAGCCTTTAATTCTTTTTAGAGCTATCACCCAGAAGCATACAGAGTGTCCTGGCTGTATGCTTGTCTTTGGATAATGATTGAGAAAGTACTGCAGCCAGAGTCAGCCAGAAACATTTTTTTAAGGGGGTCAGCCATGATAATCCATGTATCTCTCCTTTGAAAGACAGCTAAATTCTTGTGAGCACCCCAACATAAGATAGGTTTCCAGGTTGTTTGTCTGCAGTTAGGGGATATGCAATGCAATCTGCTTACATTAACATCATAGATGACAACAGATAAATCTGTCAGTACCTAGTAAAAAGCCAGCTCTTACTTTGCTTATTATTAGCAATCATACGTTGCATGAATCAATCAAGTGCACATATCAGCATTACCAAACAGCATTCTATTTCTGAATGCAAAAAATACCTCTCCCACCATAAAAAGAAATACTGCTCTGTGCTCCTTCATGTCCCTTACAGCCTAGGCAAAAATGACATGGTCTTTGGCTACCAGGTGCATTGTGCAAGTTTGGCATCATTAGAGACTGCATAAAGTCTATTGTTTTTGATCAGCCCAGTCAGAAGAAAAGTTTGGCAGGAAGCAAAACCTGATTTTGTAATTAGCTAACATGTCTGTTTGTATATGTACATAATATAATTACACATTAAACATATAACATTTCAAAAGTATTTAAAAATATTGTTATTGAACTTACTTACCTTGTTCCATTCGATAGAATCAACAATATGGGCTTTGTAATATTCCTCCGCTCTCCACCCCTCACCCCACCAAATAAATAGTTGAAGACTCCTTCTTCTCCTGTTTATACAGTGTGATATATTCTATACTGAACCTATCTATTCATCTCTTATCCCACTATCGTGTTTTAACTCTTTTCTTCAATTCAACAAATCATGCCTTATGGTGATTAGCTCAGGTGCTTGAAGATAGTTCTGAAGCCTTTTTCAGAATAATTAAAATCCAGGTTAGATCTTCAGAGGCATACTTTAATAATTGCACTAAGCACGCTAGGTAGTGACCAACCAAGGGTGTTAGTCCATTGCAAAATGAGTAGAATAGGCCAACATGTATGTAAGCACTTTTAGAACATTTGGCAGGAGTGAAAGTCATCATTTAGAAAGGAAGGAGCCTTGTTCAACTCCTTGAACTTCATGTTCTTGCTACACTTTGTAATACTTCCCCAAAAACAGCTATATCACATAATTAAAGATGCTATAATGCAACTTCAGTAAAAAAATACATTAAAAAAAAAAGCCTATCTCTGAGATAAGCAACTATGTTTAAACACAACAGGAATGTGTATTCTTACTTTGGTGTGATATGTGTATATTTCTTCAAGATCTATGCAGTAATCTAGTAGGTTACTTTGCCCTTGTAAGGAGTTTACTATAATAGACCAGTCACTGCTGCTCTCACTCCTTGTGCGGGGTGACTGGTCTTATATCCGCCCCCTCCTGTTGTTTTCTGTAGACAGCCTGTAGTGGGTGGAGTCTGCTGTGTCTTGAGCTTGTGCACCAACTTCAATAGGCTAGCCATTGCAAATCTTGCCATGGCAAACCAAACAATGGTCAGCTTGCAACAATATTCTCAGCTATTATTTTCCACACACTTATATATGATATGGAGTTAGATTTCAGGCTCATTTTTGGAGAAAACAAATATGTACAGCACAGTGCCTAATAAAGACAATTGAACACAATGAAGTGGTACCAGAGAGACATTTTTCTGGGTTAATTGCAGGCTATACAACACAACAGAATGAAGCCTTGTTTGTCAAAGCTACTATAATACCAAAGCATATAGTACCCTTATAATGCTACAGTGATTTCATTTTGTTTTGTTAAACCAAGTCAGATTGTGGCTGTGAATGTTCTATATGAGGTCATACACAAGAAGCACCAACCTAACACCATATGCCATAGGTATTAGATTGACAGATACGTCCTGCTGCAATTATAGAGCTGATGCAAAGGAATAAATATGACTAGAGTGACATTGCACACATTTCATGAAACTTTAGGGGATCCAGATAGACATTTTAAAGCAGACCTTGAAGCAAAATGCAGGGATTGCATAACCTGTTTGGACCCCTCCTCTCCTTAACAAATCACATACTATTATTAGGTGCAAAATGTACCTGTAAAGATAAAAATGAGTGTTTGCGGCCTGCAACTCCTAGACCAGGATGACCTCACACTCCTTTCCTTTTGCAGTGTATTGAAATGTCCTCTTATGAGATTTACTCTGCTCTGCATTCCCAACAATCTTCCCGGAAAGACAGAGACATCATGCCCAGCGATGCAAAAGATAGGAATAAGGTAAGTATCTTTTGTTTTTACAATCACATTTAACAATAGGTGATTTGTAAAGGGGGAAGGAGTCCGTGCAATTTGTGAGGACCTTGCGTTTCACTGCAAAATCTGCTTTAATATACATTTTTGCATCTGAAATGTAAATTGTAAAATAACAACAAAGCAAAAGTCATTATTCTTTCCAGTCGTCTCTCTCTAGTCTTCTAGGAAAGGAAACTCATATACTTGTATTCACACTAATGCTTATAGATGCATAGCTTTAAAGCACATTTGAAGTTTTTCAAATTCGTGCCAAAAAACCCCCAACTGATATACAGCATATGTTTTTCTGTTCGTGGTTCATTCCTTTGCTGTGTTTTCTACAAATATGTCACTCACTTAAATGATAAAGGGAATATGCCAGGATAGAAATAATGGGGCTATCATTGCTGAGCTGTTTCCACTACTTAATGACCCAAAACAAGCATACAACCAGTGAAATTGGGACCCCTCAAATGCTAACTTGTTTTAGGACAGTGACAGGTAAAGCAGCGAAACAAAAATAGGGATGGCAGCCTTGAAGCTTTAACCTGTAAGACAAGACAACTACAGCGGCTCCCATATTCTTGATCTTATAAGATTCCCTTTAAATCACACTCCATATTCCTAAATTGGATGTTGCAGTTATTACCAATCTGAAAACAAGCACAAGACAAATGACAGTCTACTTACATTCCTTGACATTTGGAGGTGCCAGTGAGCAAGAGTGGCAAACCATGCCATACATGCTTTTAGGACGGCTCTCCAGCATATAATACCTAAAACAAGGAATGTCATGAGATAAATAAATAAACTGGGTTATACAAAATGCTAGTCTAACTGCTGAGTATGCATAACATTCTACATGGCTGCAAATGTATCAGATTCCTAATTCTATAAAACAGACAAATAACAGCATAGGAATCAATTTGTTGTCTACAGCATAAATCCATCAATGTGTGCATTCAAAGTGCAATGTGCTTTGGATAAACAGGTTCTGAAAATGTGCCATAAATGTATTACTTATGTGTTGTGCAATGTCATACTAATATAATAGCTGGTTCACACTCTGTTTGTAAAAAAAAAAGTCATTTTGAGGGTCTGCCCATTCCAGCTGAAAATATAATTTGCAATATCTTCACACAGGGCTTTCAGTGCTGACTTTAACTACTATAATTTTGTAAGTGAGTTATGTAATTCAAACTGTTGGATATGATATATCACATAAACTGGACCTGCATTGCAGAAAGAGTGATTGCTACTATTATATTGCATTGGTTCCAGTCCACATCTTTTTTGAACTACTGTGTATCAATTCACACTAGATGCAATTCTGTGATTTTTATTATGCATCATCTTACCCTGGAAGACAGGGACCGCATTCTGCATCATTTTTGGAATCTCCAGGAGTTAAAACAGTAGCCCGGAAAAATACCTCGCAGTCCTTATGTCTTCTACATATTTGGTAGCCACCTTTAGAATACTTGTCAGGAGGACAAGGGGTGCAGCCATAGTCCTCATCTTTGGTGCCATATCCACAGACCTAAAGTGACGAGACATGACATACATGATTCAATTAGGTTTTCTGGGTTCTGGTCTATTTGTTCTGTACTTTAAAGACTGTCAATCTCAAAAAGCCGCACGATTCTACAGTTTTTACAATGGCCAAACCCATCCTATTGGCACTGATTATTATCCCTTTTTTTAAACTGTGATAGGACACAATTGATATCCATTCTTGATTAGCTTATTACAAAGAAAATGTTGAAAAGGAGTTGCATGTCTTTGTTTATGTTTGTCCAAAGATTGCAAATTTGACTATTACCCTAACTAGACTGATTATGGGTCACAAAACCTGCACAGTGAGACACTTGTTCTCTTTTCTCCTTGTTCCCTTTCTAGAACAATTAGTAAACCATAGCTCCTGATGTACAGATATCTATAAAATCGTATTATTTAAATATCCAAAGGGTTTTGTTACAATAAACCTTTTATTTAACCTTTAGGCCCCAGTCAGCCCTGTATGTTTAGGTGTGAGTAGGGATTTCCTGCATCAGGAACTTGCATTGTCTTGCAGCAGGAATCCCAAATCTGCTGCTTGCAAGCAGCAGCTGTCTCCTGTTCAAGTAAATGAGCAGGTGACAGCCGCGGCATTTAAAAGATGGCACACAACATTTAATCATATGTGATACCATTACATGCGGTTAGAAAACAATTCCTATCAAACAAGCACGATAGATGCATCCAGGGAGAGTGATTGATCCCTAACCGCATGTAATTGTATGTGATGAGGTGTGCAGGCCTTTAAATGCAGCCGCTGTCACCTGATTAACTAGAATGGATGACAGCTGCCACTTGTTAACAGAAGATTAGGGATTCCTGCTGCAGGAAAACACAAGTTCCTGACGCAGGAATCCTCAATCGCACCTAAACATACAGGTGTGAATGGGGCCTAAAGCTTAAATAAAAGGTTTAGTGTAACAAAGAAAAAGAGTTTGCTGATAAAAATAACTTTTTTTTGTCCAACTATTCATTTATTTATTTTTTGCACATTAATTCTCATTGTCCACTTTACAGGGGTGGGAGTGTGTCTTTTACCTACACACTTCATACTATAATGTGTCCCTCTTTCCCATCTCCAAAAGAAGGGAAAGGTTGGGATGAGTAAATTACTATTCATATATTTTCCACCTACTGAAAAATATTTTTTATGCATTTTTGTATGGTTGTGTATGCCCACCTCTTGACCTCCTAAGTATACAATTCCTTGCTTGTAAATATTATCACAAATGTATAAGGACAGGCTATTACCCTAAAGTGGACCTGAACTCAAAAAAAATATCGATTTTCTATGTTATAGGGAATTTCTAGAAATGTTAATTATGCTTAAGCGGTTCCCTAAAACCTCTTACATAGCAGTGCATTCCCTGGTATGTGAGCATGCCTAGGCACTCCAAGACATGGTGAGTCAGTAATAGGTGAAAGATCAGGTGTATGTAGGCCACAGGCAATACTGGTGACTATTTTTTTGTCCTCTGCCTACCTTTTTTGAGCACAGCTTCCAGAGTTCAGTTCCAGTTAAATGACTGATACTACTTACTTAATTGACAGTGTTGATGCCATAAGTTTTTGTCCTATTTACTTACATTGTATGGCTCTTCTCCTGGCTCACACTCTGGACAGCTATGGCACAAACCGGTTGTATGATTAAAATATTCATTTTCACCACAGTTAGAGTACTCTGCTAGAGCTGAATACACCAAAGACACCTGCAAAAATAAGATCAAAGCACAACACAGAACTATCATTAATTTATTTTATATTTGAATCACTATATAAAGTGTTTACTTATTGACAATAATGTGCTGTTTATTTTAGAGGTATGAAAATTGTTTCTGCTTTTGGGACAAGACTGGTGTGGCAGACATTACTGACAGTTAGCCTTTTTGTCAGAAAGTACAGGGATGATTTACTAAAGGTAAACAGACAGTTCATTTTGCAAGGAAGGTTTTCCTTGGCTTGTGAATGTGGTGAAAATTCACTTGATGAAAATCAGCAGAGCTTTACATAAGGGAAAATCCCTTGCAAACTTAACAACCTTTTTTTTTCTTTAGTAAACCAACCCCTATGAATGAGCTAAAGGTGAAGATGATATACCGGAAAAGGCTAAGGTTGCGGGGCAGACAGTCTCTTCAGTATATACTGTTAGAAGAGACATTTTGCGGAACTTTTGACTATTTTCCTGTTATATTAGTGTAGTTAATACAAATTTAAAAAAATACTTACCATTATGAAGGGGAATATGTGGGTCCATTTACTGTCACTTTGTTTGTTCATATTCTTCTTACTATGTCTTCCACCTTTAAAATAAGGTACATTGTACTGTGATTTATGTAATTTCTTTAATTGTATATTTTTCCTAACTAGATAATAAAGACACATTTACAAATAAACCCACACAACGGCATCCTCTGTAATATTGGTGACAGACATACTTGAAGAAGTATAATTGGTGACAGGCATACTTAAAGAAGATCTCCGCCCAAAACTTTCAGGGTTATTCACAAAATGGTGAATGGTTTGGAGAAGGCAGGAGAAGTGAACAATCTAGGACAACATAACTGATCTGGAAAGTGAGCTGAATTGGAGAATTTTTCTGCATCAGCTATTTTGTCCTAGATTGTTCCCTTCTCCTGCCTTCTCCAAACTCTTCACTCTTGTGAATAACCCTGTTTGAGTTTGTTTTTGACAGTAATTTGGCAGGCAGCTTGTTCATTTATACATACACACTTGCAACCCTGTTTTTTGCATCCAGAGTTGCAAAAATAAATAAGCAATATGTTATGTTTGTTAATTGCTAGTTGTTTCATAAATCTGCAAAATTAATATTTCTGGAGGATTATTTAAAGACTCGGTATGATTCAGCTCTCCAGGAAACTGAAATAGAACATGTTGTGTGGTATACACAACATGTTCTATTTCAGTTTCCTGGAGAGCTGAATCACCTAGTGATTTATTTGCATCTAACAGGGACCCAGGGGCTGAGTAGCCGGTTATGAACACTTGCTGCAGGTCATATAAGGAAGTATCACTATCCCAGTTAAATGGTATTCTATATCATATTATGGAGAAGGTAAGGTGGAGTAGAGCCACAGGCTATGGCAGGAAAATCATACCAATGGAATACCCAATAGATAAATGTAGCCACTAGGTAAATAACTTTACCAGACTTTACTGCAGACTAGAGTATCATTTTTGGGAACATTAATCCTTTCAATTTAAACAAGGGTTGCAGAAAATGGGTACAATCTAACAGTGCAATCTACATTAACTTCAGTACTGTGTAAAGTTAATAAACATGAGCCTCCACTCAATAGAGGAGTTTTCAGTGTTAGGTAAACATGCAGTGCACAAACTGTCTGGAGTTGTAATCCCACATATCTAGCACCAGATTATATATGAGGGAGCATCAGGATATAGACAAGGTTTCAAAATATGTCCAAGTGATCTCACCCCTCTTAGAGAATTTGACCAGGTCTTACTTTACCAAAGACGTTAATGCTAAAAAATGGACAGATCAGAAGCTCATCTCCGTTTATGACTACTTTAACTATGGAAGGGTTAGTTATCTCCTCAGCTAACAAAGCTGCCCCAAGAATGGTACATAGTGACTCTTACTCTGGGTTAAGGTCCTCCTGGGAAACACAGCAGCTCCAAGCCTGGTTCTCATGGGTGTCATAGCATAGCAAACCTGGCAAATTTTGGTATTGCAGTAAAGCAACTTCAAGTGTGCATGTATGATGCTTTACAATTTTGGCAAATTGAGTGTACAAAATCTGAACAGCTTTATCAGCAAATATATTGTTTCCTTTACACTTTTCACTTCCACATCAGTTTATGATTCTGAGTGCCTCAGAATTCGAATCAGCGTACATATAAGCTCTGGCTTTCCTTTAATGAACATTTTAATGAAATAAGATGGAAGATTATATTTAAATGTATGGTGTTTTAATCCTGTTCTTCGTACAGTATTGTACTAGTTAAGGCGAGTCACAGAAGGGCAAATTGTTCTGTAAGTCAATTTTACTGCGGAAACTAGAGAACAAATTGATGCATACTGTATGTCTACTGTACATTCAACAGTCAAACCTCAGGATGTCACAACAATTGACTAATGACATTGAAAAGTATACTTTTCAGTCTTGGCTGCAGCTGGCTCAGTTTCCAACAGCTTTATCTATCAGTGGTTATAGGCAAATTTGGACAGTTAGGAACCGTGCTGCATGTCAAAACAATGGGTTGAATTTATCAAAACTGGAGCAGACAGAATCTGGAGCAGTTTCCCATGGCAACCAATAAGCTTCTCTTTTCAGTTTCTTCAGTTAAGATTTGAAAATCAAAGAGAGAAGCTGGTTGCCATGCACAGCTGCTCCAGATTTTGTCTGCTCCAGTTTTGATAAATACCCCTCGATGACTTTTCCAGCCGGTAGTCACATAAACCTGCATATCTGGACCCTGTTACCTATTTGTTAGATCAGCTTCAGTCTAGATTTACCCCTAATCACTACACTGAAACTGCCCTTACCAAATTTTCTATTGACCTCCTGACTGCAAAATCCAATGATCAATGCACTATGCTCATTCTCCTTAATCTGTCCTAAGATTGTTGACCACTGTTTACTCCTGCAGTCCTTATATCTCCTTTCTCTTTGTTTGCTGGTGTGCCATTAGGTGATGTTCTTGGACTTTTTCTCTTTCCCACGTAGAAGCATGGTCTCAGTGTAGCCTCAACCATTATATAAATGGGGCAGTTGTCCTCGCTTCAGCAGGTTAGGGGAAGAGCAACCAGAGTCCTTGATTCCAAGGGTATAGCCCACTAAGTCCATCATAAGTCTTCTTGCACATCACATTAACTGGCACCCTTTAACGTAGGCAGAGTTTGAAGGGAAGCAACTCTGTTAAGCCCATTGCTGTAACCAGTGCAGTGGGACACTTCCTATCAGCCTCCTTCCCTTCTAACTTTGAAAGAAAGAGTCCCACTGCTCAAATGACAGTAATGGGCAGCAGGGCTTATGCAAGGCATGGTGCAACATGCCCCTGGAATCTAGTACCATAGGAAAGATCTAGTAGAACTTTTAAGAAATTGGGGAGCAACTGATTAGCTCATCAAAACTGGGGCAAAGGGACAGCAGTTACCCATAGTCAGATTACTAGCTGAACTTGAAAGTGCATGCTTGATTAGTTTCTATGGGTAACCTAGATTTCTTCTACTGTATTTTTCTTTGCTCCAGTCTTTTTAAATCTGACCTGTATCTGACTTTTTTGGAATTACAGAGTTAGAGTGTTATTTATGTACTGTCCTGTTGAAAGGAAAATAGCTAAAATAAGTGTTACTATATTATATTTAGGGATTCAATTAGCAAATATTTTAAAAAAATACCCTCTGCACTGTATTACTTTGAGTATGACCCTATTATATATAGTTATTTCCTTCCACAACTGCCGTAGAACACCTAAAGCACTTTGATGTTGTAAAATGTAAAATGATTAAGTATAGCACCCTTGGTATACCTGCTGTGATATCTGGTGGCTGTATTCCCAAGCAGTTTATGTAGAGCATATCTAGACTTGTAGCTACATAATGATAAACTGACTTTACATAATCCTGAAAGGCAGAAGCATGCATTTCTCTTAAAGTGGAAATTAACCCTTATATGTACCTTTTCCGTTAGGGTGTATATTAACTTTAGAAGGAATTTCACCAGGAGGAAACTATAGAAGCTGTCACCGCTCATTTGTTTATTAGGGGCATGCTCTGAGGTTGTCATTCTTATTCTTGGTTCACTCTTTAGCGAATCACTTATGTGGAACAACCATGTGCATATCAGATGTCCTCACACAGGATATGACGTATCATAGGGACATGGTTGTACTAGGATTGTGACCAGCATGACTGGCCTGGAGTCTGTGAAAACCAATGGCAGTATAAAAATGTCTACCTTACAGGTTCCTTTCAAGCAGTACTGATTCTTTCAAACAGAAATGGGTGAACATAATAACTGAATATTTGTAACTAAACACTGGGGTTCTACATTTTTTGCACTTATGGACAAAAACAGGAAGCTGTAGATTTAAAAGGACACCTCAAGGACGTACGGTTAATAGCAGGAGTGCATTGATACGACCTTAGGGCTAAAAGCAGCAGTAAAACACCATACTGTTTCAAATGTGCATATAGAAGAATATGTGGTATAATAATGAGCTTCATAGCACATTTAGAGAGTAAAAAGAAATGTAGATAATGCTATCTATCCTAATGCATTAAATTAATTCTGCAATCTACCGTAGGTGATCCAAATAGTTAAAAAAATATTTTTTGAATATTGTATTAGTATTCTTGTCTTATGTTATAGTAATACTTTCTCAACATATTTACCTAAGTGAACAAATTCCCCTTTAACCAATAGGAAGTCCTGTGGTTTGAATGGCACTATTGATAAAGGACCAGTCTAACCAAAATATAGATTTTACTTCAGGTGTATTATGGGGTTGAATCACCAGCTATTTATTTATATCACTTGGTAGCCTAAAGGGAAAGATCCTTCTGCCATAGTTTGAATGCTGGTTTTGTTCTCAACCATCTTAGAGTGTTGGTTCTTCTGCTACAACATTTGTGTTTCACTCCTTATGTTACATTCTTCTTCACAATAATAAAAATAATAAAAATCCAACACTCCCTCGTCATCTCCATGGCAGTTGGAAATGCAAATGTGCAGAATTGTGAAGACACATGTAGAGATCTCACCACCAGAGTCCCTGAGAGACAAAATAAACTAGTGAAATATAAAAGAGTAAACACGTTATATGAGAGGCATGGGGTTTCCATTGATAACCTTCCCCTGAAAATGTCCTTGAGTACTTGTGAAACTGAGCCATTCATTTTATTAATTTTACTCCAACAAGTATGCACATCAACAAAGACCCTGGGGAAAGTTAGAAATCCTCAAATGCTTACTTCTTTAATGACCTTAAACACATGGATTAACTTGTCAACTGCCATCTATCAAAATATTGTATTTGTTTAGAGTTTAACAGGTTGTGGTAAACAAAATAAGCTGAAAATTATGCTCATTTTGTATTAAGGGACATGAGGCGTGCCAGGAAGCCATTCCCAATACTATTATACTACCAGAACCAGCCTAAACTGTTGATACAAGACTAGAAAGATCTATGGATTTATGCTGTGTATGACACATTTTGATCCTGCCTTCTGCTTGTTTCATTTGCCAGAGAAGGCATCCTTTAATTTTGGGGATCACTTGTTCATGGTAGCCTCATTCTCCTGTATTGAACTGACAGGACTGGAAGCCAGGTGAGTCTTCTGCTGTTGTAGTGTATACTGTTTCAGGTTCAAGGTAATGTACATTCAGAGGTGCCTTCCTACACAACACTGTCATAAAGAGTAGATCTTTGAACAGATGTGTTATTCTTGGCCAAGTCTGGCTATGTTGGATTTGTTTAATTGTTCTCACCATTCTCTTTAACTGCTAGTAGGTTAGCAATTTATAAAATTTTGCAACCACTAGGTATGGGACCAATAACCAATCCATTGTCAGTGTTTCTTAGAGCTTTCATATTCCCTTTCTAATGGTTGGCTAAACAACAAACAAATCTCTTGACCATGTTTGCTGGACATGTATTGAGGTGCAGCCAGATTATTGGGTGTTTGCATTAAGAACAGATGTAACTAATCAAATTGGTCTTTCAAACAACATCCAACCTCAGAAAAAAAGCATTATAGTGAATATAGGGGCCAAGTCCCTTTGGAAACATTACATTCAGTATGTAGTTAAACTCAGCCACTAAACTCTCATATAGGTTTTACCATGTTAAAGCAGAACTATGGGGTACACCTTTTTTTGCATTTTTAGTTTCCTTATGATACAGGAGTACATTTTGAAATGTACTCCTGTAATAAAAAATGCACCATAGGCTTACAATTCAGTGTAGTATACTTTGGGTGTGGCTAAGCTCTTTGTTGAGAAGCTACCCTGACAATATTGTCAGGATCCTCCTCTGCCATTAAATGACAGCAGCTTGCAGGAGCTGCTGCGCATTCATTAAAACCGATGCAGACACTCGGGCCACATCTTATCAGAGTCTATTCATATAAGGTCACAAGTCTACAAACACTACCACATCTATCCCGCAGTTTGTTTTTCACCCCTCCCCTCTCCTCTCCACTCTACACTGCTGTCACCAGACAATACACATGTCACATCGGCACTAAGACCTACAGTTTGGCTCCCCCTTGCCCTCCTCCACCCTGCTGTCTTGGGACATACACAGGGAGAAGAAGAGATAAAGACAGAGTGAAGGAGAGGGGGGAGACAAGGGTGAAGCTGAACTGATGGTCTTAGTGCCAATGTGTTATGTGTATTGTCTGGAGACAGCAGTGTAGAGAAGAGAGGGGAGGGGGGGAACGAAGGACAAACTACGGGATGGATGTGCAAGTGTTAACTCTGATAGGATGTGCCTGAAGCAACTGAACAGGTTCTCATGAACACACAGCAGCTCCTACAAGCTGCTGTCACTCCATGGGAGAGGAGGATCCAGACAATATTGTCGGGATTGTTTCTCAGTACAGAGCTCAGCCCCAACCACAGTATATTACACTGAATTTTAAGCTTATGGTGCATTTTTGATTACAGGAGTACATTGCAAAATGTACTCCTGGATTATAAGTAAACTAAAAATGCAAACAAAAGGTGTACCCCATATTTCTTCTTTAATATAATTACAGATATGGTTTTCATTATTTTAAATATATTTTAAATTTGCAGCTATCATGAATATAATACCTGGGGAACCTGCCATGAGTATACTGTTTCAGGCACTTCCTGTTATGGTGTGACAACTGTCTCTCAGTTGTGCTCCTGTGTTGTCACCCTTTCTGACATGCTCCCGGTGGAGAATACCAGCAGCTGTACCAACACACAGTGCACATGCATTGTCTTTTGTTTTCACCAGTAGGAAGTCTGCTCTTAACTTTCATGTGCAGCTGGAGTTAGTGCATGTAGACAGGAAGTGGCTGCAAAACAGCCCACACAAGATCAACAGCACTAAGATAAAAAAGGATGAAAAACATGGGCATTTCTTTACACCTTGCTTTGGAAAACTAAACCCATTCAGGGTTTAGAGCTACTGTACTTTAATGTATCACTATAGGGTCAAAGTCCGCTGCTACACTGCTCCCTGGCCGCTGGATGCGTTCAACAATTCTGGGTGTGTAGAATACCTCCTCCCTCACCATGGACTGTGGTTCCTCTCGCCAACTTGAACATCACAACAGGACGTATGATCTGGGAGAAAGAAACACTGTGTGCAATGTTCTATATACCCGGAAGTATTAAATATCTGCAGCAGCTGGGTAATAGCAAAGCAGCAGTGTTTAAACACCCCAGAAAGGTAAGTATTAACTCATTTGTGTAAGGCTAAAGCCACTGTCTGTCACATACAATGGCTTTCCTTGTTACTCACTACTGCTGCCCCCATCCCTTCCTTCACATTTTTCTCTTTTTATATAGCAGGCAATGAGAAAAGACTGCCACAGATTGGATGTATACTTACTGTCTCCTGCCACTTGAGTGCTGGAGAGTTTGTTATTCCACTGCACCTTGCATACACAAATGGTAAGATGTTTTAATGATGAGGCAGCGAGCCTCCAAATGCCCTCTTCAACTGATTCCTTGATTTGCAAATGTATCAGGCCTAACACAGAAGGCAAGTGACTTGGGCTATACAGATGCACATTAGGATGCACATCATAGGAGATCAATGTGTTTCCGTGATTGTTACTTGCTATAAATGGATTACGAATATATGATATGGAATAAATGGATTACAAATAAATATATGTCTTATTCTTGATGTTTAAAATATCTGTTATACCATCTCAATGTAAGAATCTTGTAAACAAATAAGTATCCATTAATTCTTATGTTTATAGTACTCATAGATTTGAAATTGGAATGTCCTCTGGCTATTTCTGAAGAATTTTAAAGAATTGTATGTACCTTGAATATTACCATGGGGTACTCATATAAGATGCCGAGCCAATATCAATTGGCACCTCTCAGCTTAAAGCAATAGTAGCTCTAGTAGGACGTGTTTTTACAATAGTGAAGTTCTTACCCTACCATGATTTTTAAGCCTTAGAAGGCTCATGTTTTCTGTTGCCATTTTCTATTTTGATCTATCAGTCACCAGCCATAGCTTATAAAAATGTATATGAATTCCTTTTTGTAACATAATACACAGGCTGTTTACCAAGCATAGCTCAATGTGATCCTAAGACAAAAAGGAAATAAAAATGGAAAGCAAAATAGATATAAAATAGATAAATTGTCTGCTTTGGACAAGCCACTGTGTATTTATATGTGGCAAACAGGGTACCGGGATCACTGACATTATAACTGTTGAAGAAGGATATGCTCTAGATAAACAGAGCCCTATTCATACACACCCTCCCTTGTGCCTTGGGTTACATTCTCATCTGGAGATTTCATAGAAATGTCAGGAATAACAGAGATCAGAGGAAAGACATTGAACGTAAATTGACTTCTCAGAGGAGTGGCATTGGGAATATTTACTTCAACTGCTCTGAATAATACTTGCTGTCACCTGAGGTAATTCTTCAATAAATAATATCACAATGCGCTACTGAAACTTGATACACATGATGTATAAAGAGTGTATTCTTATTTAAATAACAAGATATATAGATGTGGAAGCAGGACATTTTAGAATTCATGCATGCATAATAAAATGCAGTCTGTAAGCCTGGAATTTCGACCACCACTGCAAGGGCTGCATTCTTCCTACTGACCACCAATGTAATGACATTTTTGACCCCCGATTAATTGGTTTTAGAAAGAGTACCCCGAGACCTGAAAATTATTTTAGGGTTCCTCTTTGGGGAAAAGTTTGGCTGCTCTAACATTTTTGATGTCAATTTATACTGTGTACACATGATCTTGAGCTCTTTGTGTAACGAAAGAAGCAGACATTGTCTGATTTGCAGAATAATTGCTTCTGGCGATAACAAGATAGATTATCATTCTGCCTCTAATACAAGAACAGAATTATACTTGTCAGATCATACATACATAATATTACCATACTTTACAAATCTATAATAATTCTATTCACTTCAAATCTGTTATAATCTATAATATCCTGATAGGACCCTATACAAAATATTATCTATATGTGTTAAACTCCAAATACATCTAAATTCATCTTGTGTAATAAGGCAGTGAACAATGTGCAAAAGTACAGTGACCCGAAGCACCCAATCAGAAATCATCTTAAGGTAACACTAATAAAAGCTGAAACTTGATTTGTTGTTATGGTCTTTATGCATCAGCTTTTCCCTTTATATTGTCTTCTAATGAGAATGTTGTTATATTTTACATCTAAATAGGTAATGTTGTGAATTCTATAAATCTGACATGCAAACAAAATATATGTTGATATGAATTAAAATAATGTACAGTTCATAACTGTACATAATACTCACACAAGCACTTTTTAGAGAGAAGGCAGAGTTCCAAGGTAGTCACCAATGTAGGCATTTATCCAGACAAGGCAATTGTTTTTTGGGGTTTGAACATAAACTTTTTTTCCCTTTTATCCTCTCAGCTCACTGGTGAGGTGAGGGATATGGCAGCCCTGCCTCCTTTCCACCCACATAAACAGTTAGCAATGAAATACACAAAGGTCTTTGAGAAACTGTTACTTAACTAGAACCTGCAATTAATCTAGTGTTTAGGAAACCAGATGTCCTTAATGTCTTACACTGTTGGTAACCATTGCCCCAGGGTGAGAAGCTGGCATGGTGGCAAAATCATTACTACCTGCAGAGGTTTAATGAACAGACTATATAGCCTAACAAATGTATTAGATTTTTTTTCCCTTCAGTATAAGCCAACAACTACAAAGTCATTGCTTGGTCTCCACCAACACATTCAAATGTATTCAATACTAAGTCCAAACATAAAGTTCAATTTCAGCAATACAAGAAGCATCGGTCAAGAAAGATGCTGTCATCATTACAGGGAATTGAATACATAAATAAATAATAAATAATCACCAGGGATAAGTACTCACACTGTGCTGCATCACAGGACAGCATACAAATGCTAGATGTTGTGATGAGAAAGATGCTGAGGTGAATAACACTCCGGCAATTCCTATCCTTAGCTCTTTATTAGAGTAAACATGGAAAATGAGCCTGAAACTCTCCACTTACAGTCAGACTCTGATTGTCATCACTCAAATACAGTTGCACTTCCTGCCAATCAATTCCCAGCACCAAAAAAATTTCAAACGGTCATAAGAGGTTTATCCAGTCTTTCACACAGGTTATAAATGACAAAAAGAAAAAACATTTCACTAAGAAAAGCTAATTGTTAAAGATGGAGGATTAAAAGTAACAGAAAAACGTGCAAACAATGATTGCTTCCAATATTGAGATGGGAAGCTCAATCCATTCCGTGTGATAAAGCACAGAGGAGATATACTTCTACAGAGTAGTCTGTATTCAAGGATGTTATATAACATTACTCTATATAGACAAAGGAAGATGAGATTCAAGTCAATTGAAAAAAATCTAGAAATAAAGTTAAAGTGTATATAAAGCCAAACCTATTTTTAGGGAAGTTTTTATTGCTGTATGTGTCTCCAGTGGGTAGATTTGCCCTCTCTAAAAACTGACAGAGGCTTTAATCCTTTCCTACTTTGTTCAAAACTATAATACACTTTATCAGTCTTATTTACAAAAGGGTGAAGAGTTTGGAGAAGGCAGGAGAAGTGAACAATCTAGGAGAACATAGCTGAACTGGAAAGTGAGCTAAACTGGAGAATTTTTCCAAATCAGCTACTATTTTTATAAAAATTCTGCAGTTTAGCTCACTTTCCAGTTCAGCTATGTTCTCCTAGATCAGGTGCCCATTAGGTAGATCGCGATCTACCAGTAGATCGCAAACCGAACACTGGTAGATTGCGATCGGCTCACTGACCTGTGTCCTATCCTCCCTTGCTGCTCATGCGGCTGAATGTGTCAGACGCCGCAGACGGGAAGGAGAGAGGAGAGTAGACTTGGGAAGCTGCTGCAGTGGAGGTAAGAAAAGACAGACAGGAGAGAGACAGCAGAGAAAGTGAGAGAAGAGACAGCAGAGAGAGAGAAGAGACAGCAGATAGAAACAAGGGAGAGAGCGAGGGGAGAGAGAAGAGAGGGCCGGTTCACACCACAAAGTCTGCATTCCAGAGTGTTCGGCCTCTAGAATGCATTTGAGTGGAAGCCGGCCGGCTCCCTGCGTTCAGGGGCGGGAGGGGGCGTGGCATTGAAGTAAATGGCACCACAGCCACGCCCCCCGCCCTCAGTGTGATCGCCCGCACCCGGAACGCAGACACGTGCCTGCGGTTAGGTCCAGTGAGATCTGCCAAAATGCTGCATTTTGGCAGATCGCGAACGTGCCTGCATTCCTGGTTCGGCGATTGCACTTGGGGCGTGGCTGCGGTGCCATTGACTTCAATGCACTGCCATGCCCCCTCCCGCCCCTGAATGCAGGTGTTTTTTCTTTGGTAGATCTCATTGAGCTCGTCATTTGAAAAGTAGATCTCCAGATGAAAAAAAGTTTAGTAGCCCATGTCCTAGATTGTTCCCTTCGCCTGCCTTCTCCAAACTCTTCACCCTCTTGTAAATAACCCGGTAAATCTTTCCATTACACGGAATAATATACTTTTCAGTGAGCCAATAGTGGGCTGGTAATAGGTAGAAAACAGCTTGCCAGTTTCCTCAATGTCTCAGAGCTTTATTGACTTCAACCTATTTAATCATTTCTGTTTATTTGATGGCAATAAAGCCTGAACAATTTACATCTGTGTTTTTCTCAAAGTAGCTTACAATATAATGTCACTACTAGTTGTATAAACACGCACATGTATCAGCTTGGGTAGAAACCATTTTACCTACCAGTATATTTTTAGGCTATGGAAGGAAACGCAAGCAACAACAGGAAAAACATACAAACCCAATGCACACAGTGTCCCTGATGAGAATCATAGTACCACAAGGAAATGGTGCTAACCACTTTGACCCAGCAGAAAAGAACAAACAAGCCAACTGTACTGTTGCCTCATTCCGGAACGTCTAAGGATTACTCAGAAAAACAGGAACTAATTGAACCCAAAGGGAGGGACAACAGAGGACAAAAGTAAAGAGTGACTACGGTAATCAGTGTCTTGATTCGGTTAGTTCAGCTTTAGACAAAAAACACACATTAATGTGTTTAGTATTTTTAAGGCACTGGAAAAAATAAGCTGCTTTTAGAATTGAAATACAACAGTAGTCATACTGTTACTAGCACACATCAAATGGGCACTGATAGGCCCCATAATTGTTTTAGGTGAGTTTGAAACTTTACTGAGGTGTTTTTTTTTTCTGTGTGTTTTCAGGCATTTTCTGGCTTGAGCATTTTTGTTTTAACCAATGGAAAGCTAATCAGTAGGAGGAAGAGATGGTTGTTAAGTGCACAATTGCACAAAAAACACAAATTATGTTCATTTTTTAGGTACTCTTATTGATGTCTATATGGTTCACGCTACAAGCGAAAGACGACACAGGAGGTAAAACGGCACCATTGAAAATAATGGGATTCTTCATGTGGAGCACTGTTGCACTTTGGGAAACATTCATTTAAAAAAAAATAGGTCCGTGTATGTGTGTGTGTGTGTATAATATCTTGATGAAGTATCAGTATATATGTGTGTATACAGTATAATGGAAGACGGTATTGAATAATGTACTCATTGATAAAAGAATCTCAATCATGGCTATGAAGCTACATCCGATTAGCCCAATAAAAAGTCTTAACAAGTAAAAAAACAAACACTGAACAGCAGGAAAACAGGATGCATCGGATTTATGTTTATAGTAGCCTGAAGAGGTGAACAGAATGTATTATCAGAACAGTTGTACGGATGTGGTATTGCCATATCAGGAATAAAGAGCTCTGTGCCAATTACCCACCCACTAAAATTAGTTATTATTCTTTTCTCTAGCATTCAATGCTGATGTGAAGATTATCATTAGAATCCAGGTGGGCATGTCTGGAAATGTTCTAACTGTAAACGTATAACGTAAAGAGGGAATTTTACCAACCCACTCTAACTGAGTTAGATATCCACTACAATGTGTTATTAATACAAAAGATCAAATTATTTCATAAAGAACACAGTTCACACATTATTCTGGTAACTGCAATGTCTACAAATAATTGTGTTATTTGTTGTTTATGTATAGTACATTACAAAGCAAATTGCTTTCAACCATTCACCTCAGCTGAACTTAAAGTTTCACCTAAATGGCATTGACCTGATTTGAAGAGGTTTTTTTTTTAAAGCAACCCTTTCAAGTTAAACTGTAGATCCCTGCAATAGATTATTCATTCATTCATTCATTCATATCATAAATACCTCTCTGGTGGCCCATTTTTCCTTCTTTCCCTCCACTCCAGCAATGCAGCCTCCCTCTGTCTCTTAAGCATCCGACAATTCTGGGATAGTCAGTAGGCTTGCCACCCGTTTTCACCTAGACAGTCCAGTTTTGGAGTCTTGTGTCCGGGTGTCCAGCCAGCAGGCACCTGGACACAAGTCACTCAGTGCCGACACCGGCACCTTACATTCTCTGACAAATGCGGTTGCCGCGGTCCTCAGCAAGTGAGATCTCGGGCGGTCGCATCCGTTGGAAAACCGGGTCTTCCTCTGAGCTGCAGGCACCTGTCAACAGGCACAAGCTGCACGCAGTTCAGAGGAAGATCCAGGTTTCAGACGGATGCGGCCGCCTGAGATCTCACTTGCCAAGGACCTCGGCAGCCACATCTGTGATTTCTTCTCCTTCTCCTCCTCCGGCTCCCTGACACCGTATTTGCTCGCCTGCGGACCCCTGGTGAGACTCCATAGCCCAGACAGCCCTGAGAGTCACGCAGCCCACCTGAGTATCGCACAGCCCACCTGAGTGTCGCAATGCTCACCTGATAGTCGCACAGCCCACCTTAGAGCTGCATAGCCCACCTCAGAGCCCGCACAGCCCATCTGAGAGCCCGCACAGGCCACCAGGCCACCTGGAGTCATCAGGGCGTCAACCCAGAACAACACAGAGTATGTAGCTTCATATTATTTTGTATTGCTCTATAATGTATTGCTGTGATTTGTAGTCCTCTATAGCTAGTCTCCTTAATCCCTCCCCTTGCTGCCTCTCCTCGCTCTCTCCTCTATAGTGTAAAAAAAAAAAGTTGCCGCACACGGTGCTAGAGTGTTCGGGTTTCGCTTGAGGAAAAGGTGGAAACCCTAATTGTCAGAAGGCTGTGCCCTCCACTGCACAGACTGGTATGTCAGAGAATAAAACTACGGCACACGGTGGTGAACACAGGCATTTTACATCTGTTGAATTCTGAAAAGACTGAGGGAGGACACAGCCTTGTAAAACACAAGGGTACTGGAATTGTTCAGAACTTGTCATCTTCTTTATTCCAACATGCAGATCCACAATTCTGACAAGTTAGGAGATTTGCACATTATATTCAATGAGGTGGCACATGAAGGCTGGTTTACCTCTGTTCTCTTTCCTAACACCAGAGATGAATAAAATTTTGTTTAAAATTGGCAAACCCAC